CCTAATTCTGCTCCTAAATCTAATGATCTTACAGCCCCATACGCTTTCTTAACTACCATATTAATTTGCCTTGCCATCTTCAGGGATCTGTCACCCCAAGATCCCTTTGTGCTTCCTTGTGTCCTACCATTCATTGAGCATTGACCGATTATGACTGACCATTGTCTGACTACTTCCAAGGCAGTTTTGAGTTTGTACCACATAGCAGCATTTGGATATTAATCTGCAAAAACTGTGCCTCAACTAATTAAGCTATACCTTTGCTTTTCTGTCAGTAAAAAGGCAAGTTACGTTAGACTCAGAACAAAACCAGTATTCCACGGATGATAGCAGGCCTAGAATATTAGAAATAAGTGCTTGTGTTAGTTTGAACTAGCCATTTATTTTTAATGACGTTGAGGGTCAGGATGTTCTGGTCATATACACAATAACTGATTTGTTTCACAGCTGACACAGTATGCGACATGAGTACATAACATACGCTCAAAGTCAAGTTACATTATTACATTACAAAGTCAAGATATTTCATAAAATCTAGTACACAGTGTAAGAGTAGGCCATGCACAAATAACACAAATAACAGACATCAGTTGGAGCTGGATGCACATCATCAGGCTGTGCAATCCTATTTAAAATTCAAAGGTCCACAATCTTAAGCAACATGCTGTCCAAGGTCCATTTTTACATGTCCCTGTACAGTATTGCTAAACTGAATGATAGGATCTCCGACTGTCACTCCTGTCACATGGCCAGTCTGCAAACTGAACTGTAAATTGTTAGGCGCTGTTACCTCCCCCATGTGCATGGATAGACTGTAACCACCAGCCTATGCCTCCTTCAAAGCATTTTTAGCAAATACCTTCTCTCTGTCGTAAGGTCAGAAATGGGAAGTTCATCACTGACTGCATAAAGTTCAGCATCACTTGCAACTCCTCAGGTACTAAAGCAAATGAAACAAGGCCTGGACAATATCTGTCGACTGGCACAGAAAAACACGAGCCCTGTACAAGTGTAGGCCGCTTGGCCATTCAATCAAATCATGGCTGACCTGATATTCAAACTCCCGCAAACCTGCATATGGCAAATAACATTTGAGCAACGCAACTGCTGAGCAATGACTATCCCCAAAATAAAAATAGAATCTAACCATCTCCCGTTAAGATTCAATGGCATTACTATCACCGAACACCCCCTATCAACATTGACCAGAAATTGAACCGAATCAGCCATAAAAATATGGGCATGTCAGAGTCTAGGGATTCTGTGCTGAGTAACTCACATCCTGACTCCCCAAAGCCTGTCCATCATCCAAAAGGCACAGGTCGAGAGAATGATGGAATATTCTCCCCTTGTCTGGATGGGTGCAGTTCCATCAACACTCAAGAAGCTGGACACTATCCAGGTCAAAGCAGTTAGCTTGATGGGCACCTCATTTACCACCCTGAATGTAAACTTTCTCCCGCACCAGCACACTAGGTCCGCCTTGTTTAACGTTTACAAGATGCGCTGCAGCAACTCACTGAGTCTTCTTAGAGAACACTTTCCAAATCCATGACCACTACCAACCACGAGGACTACAGTAGAGGTTCCAT